GTGTATTGTGAAAAGCACTTTCTTCTAACAATTTAGTCTTCCATTCCTAAGTCTGAAAAACACCATACCACATTTTCCAGCATAGCATATTCAACGCAAACTCAAACTGTTTGTAGAGCAAAATATGACAAGTTGTGGGGACCAAACTTAAAATGTTGCCAAAATGTACATGAAGAAATAATGTACCGGCACCATATATTGTTACCATGTCCATAGATCTGTTACTTAAATACTTGTCATGTGAACCTTTGTAGACGAAACTCCTAAAGTATGAAACAAGACTTTTATCTTGTTTTCTTAAAACTTTCCATTAAACACCTTTTTTGATGTTTTCATGATTATTTTTAATATGAACAAGATAATATGAGAAATGACATACTAAGGTATTTTCAGACTCTTAAGGTAGACAGTTACAAATAAGAAGGATAATTTTCTGTATTTGAAAGAAAAATGTTTATTTTGATGATATTTATACCATTAAATAAATATCATATAATTGTGTTCATGTAATTTATCCATCTTGTAAATATTATTTTTGTAATTGCTTTTTTACTACACTGTAAAATCAAAGTTGAAATAAACTTGGACATTTTCACTTCAAGCCATTTTTATCACATCCTCCTTACTTATTTAATTAAATAATAACTAATTCTGTTATTAAGAGGACAAGTTCCTACAAATAACAGATTAACCAACCAAAGTGGTATGGTAAATAGATACTATACCAAAAACTAAAAACTTAGGAAAGCTAAGAAACTAATAATTAGGAAGTACCAACATTCAAATAAAATTTTTCTTGAAAAATTTTACATATTATTCTTGTTTGAGTAAAGAAATAACGTCTCAAGAATCTGATACTGTTTTCTGGTTTCTTTAAAGAAACCTGAAGAATACTGCCAAATATTAAATCGTATTAGTAGGCCCACTTGCTTATAATTAGTTACATACTTGAGTTTATAAACTAAATTGTTATACCAACTGGCAAAAGTTTGATTTATAAGATAAAAAAAAAACATAAGAAAAAATTACTGGTCAGCAGAACTGGTATGCAAAGCATTATTTCAATTAAGGTAATTAAATAAGCCAAGTAATAATTATTTCAATATAATGAACACAACTTAATTAGGATCAGAGTTTGTGAGTTTAAGACTAAACTTTACAAATCATATATTAAAGTCCATTTTTAAGAGGTTGGCAGCCCAATTTTTAGCCAATAAGTCGTTGCCAATTTTACAGTAAAAATAAACTTAATTTAATTGAGCATCTAAATTTGCTTCTGTAATAGTGATTTTATTTGTGTAACTAGTTTGCGACGTGGCACTTTGCTGCACATGAGAGAAATGTTTACGCACGAGCCGTAGGCGAGTGTGGAAAATTTATCGAGTGCAGCAAAGGCATTTGCACTCGCGTTACACATTATATTTTTCCTATAGTTACTATAAAGCATATAAATGATTAGTTGTTCAAACACTATAACATGTTTTAGGTTAGGTTAAATCTAAGCGTTGAACGAAATGGGAAACGCTGAACCAGCTAATCGTAATCTTAGTATATTTTAAGTGTTGCCAACCTATTTCCAAGCGTACACGGATTACGTGCCTACTAAAAGCACGCTGTCTTGTGTTGTGTGGTTGGAATACCGGAGTGCTACAGAAAAATGAGTGCGGCAAAAGAATGAATGCGGCAAAAGTAAGTAAATGCAGCAATTAGCTACTTTGCGTGCTATAATCAGGTCAAGGAAGCCCACTTTGCCAGGTAACTTTAGGAAAAATAATGTTTTGACTATACTATCAACCAAGACTAACTAAAATAACACATCTTAGTAAACTCATTTATTGCATGTAATATCAACTATCTGTATAAACAAAGATCAATTAATTATAATTATTGACATTGGCAGTTGGCACACTCACTATGTTCTATTAAACAAAACATTTCCTACAGCTAGTCCATAATATAGGTAAATCTCTCCTCTGGTATCTAAATTTCGAATCAAATGTGATACTGAACATCATTTGTTTATTTTAAAACTTCAATCTTAACTAATGACTCTTTATGTAGTAAATTCTCTTGATTGTATTTTATTAAATCCAATCTATGACTTGTATATGTTTATTATGCATTATCAACCATCCCAGCAAAGAAACTTCTTCTATATCTGGGAAGATTTTTGTTTCGTTCTTATTTTGTTTTGACTAATGAAATCATCCTTTAAAAAAACAAGACTTAAAACTAGATAAAATTATCTCTAGAGCCAAAAACAGATACAGGTAAACCCAATGAAACATTCTGTTTGAGTAATAATGCCTTTATTTGTGAATTACGTGTCAACCTCATCTACAGTCTAGACTGGCTGATAATTGTAGTTGTAGACATAGAAAAAGCCACCAAAAGCTTGCAATACTATTGGCAAACAAATCGTAAATTTACGTCGCTTATCTATTTTGTGGTTTCATTTTTATTTGAGCTGAAACACAAAGTCGTTAGATGTCAAAATTGCTTCCACAGTAAGAATCAATCACTCTTACTAAAAAGTGCTACACAAAACTTAATTGTAACAAAACAATAACAATAAGAAATTATGTATAGACAAGCTTTAAACTAAGAAGTTAAACACTATGCTATCTTTCTAAACAACATGTTCAAAGTAAAATGTTAAAAGAAAAAAATTAAAATTAATTGAAAACATGGAAATAAACGTACGTACATTCCTATTAAACTGTCGGGAAATGTATGGTTACATATAGAGTCAGCACAAATAAACATACACTATTTGGTTTTCTAAAACTAAAGTATTGCCATATGTAATAATACAAATAGTATACAACAGCATACATAGCAAACTCAAGATTTTAAACAAATCTTACTTTAGAGTAGACATCACAAATGGTCGAATCATTACTTATTAGATGTAACACATTTATATGAAGTACATTTTCGCACTAAAAAAAACACTGTTAAAATTTATTTTTGACCATTTACATGAGGTCTACTCTAATAAAAAAATCAAAAGTTTGGTCGTTGTATGCATAAATATGTAAAGAGTAGTTTAAACATAAAAAGCATGTCTTTTAATACCAGTTAAAAGACTTACACTATGTTTATCATATGTGACCAAAGAGTTAATTTTTCATTAATTATGTGAACAAAATAGCACCAATAAATAAAGGGTTTTAAAAAGAAATAATATAAATTAAACTTGTTAAATTTTTAAGAAATAGAAGAAAGCTCACAGTAAATTTATTGATTTTACTTAAATGTTCTCAATAAAAAAGCTGAAAGCAAACTAAATACACAGCAGTGGTACAGAAGGCAGTGGTAGAAGGAGGAAATCTCACTGACAATAGCATAAAATCAAGTAATCTTTGATTAATTGATGACTAGATCTAGGACATTTTCAAAATAGTTTGAGTTTCAATGATTTCACACAACTTGAACGCATTTTAAGTAGATGAGAGAACTAAGAAAATTGTATTGCATACCTATTGCATCCAATGTGCATATGATTGCGGAATTTAAACACAAACGTGGTATATTGATCAATCTTTTGGTTAAAAAATGAGTGAAATTTCCTCCTCATTGGTGTACTATAGACATGAACATGAAGACAGGAAAGAAGGACCTGCCTTCTACAGAAAGTTGACAGAAAATATAACACACAACACGTCCTAGACTAAAACGCAAATATAACATTGTTTGTATTTCGTCATTATATCATTTCGTAATATGTCTGGGTATATATTATACTATCTATATAATTTTAATATTTTTTTGTTAAATAGTATTTGTTTACACTCATTTGTACTATTTGAGAAATAAATTTGTAGGACTAAGGTTAACAGCTGGTCAGACTGCATAGTGACTCTTGGCGCAAACGACAAGTCAACAACAAAGAAAACACGAATAGAGTTTACTCTATGCTTTGTCACATCGCCATTGCATAACTTTGTACTCTGTGGTATTGTATTGACTGAGGTAAATAATATTGTCGTAAACAACACATTTTCTACAACATAATTAGGTATGTACAATAAACCTCGCCTAGAACATCACAAAATCATTTCCTAATTCATCGTTAACATCGTATAAAACTTTACAAAAAAATGTCGTCAAATCCAAAACATTTTGAAATCAGACGAATCGACAAATCAACAATGATATGGTGAATTATTTAAACTTATTACCGTGAAAGGGATTTCAATATTTAAATAAATATCGATGATAATTCTGAGTCCAATGATTACAACATCCCATCACAAATAAACTTAAGGTTGTAATTAAGCTACTCACTAAATACAACTAAAGCTTTACAAAAACAAAACAGTAACACTTTCCTAAAATCAATTTACAGAACTCTAAGAACTAACAAATATTACAATCTCGTTGACAATAACGAAAATTTATTTAATAGACTTTATTAATTACCTACGATTTGTACTGTTTTGCTTTGTTATTATTACATTGCTGAAATCAAGTTTAAACTGATATATATATACAATAATGATAACCAACAATTAGAAGCCAAGAATGCACAGTCTGACCAGAGAACCAGTAACATTAACAACAAATAGAATCAAACAGTGACAGTAGGCCTACAAGATGTTGTGTTGTGTTAGGTTGGTGGAAACAAACTACTTAGTTCTAGAATGGAATAAAACACGTTGCAAGTTTGTACAGTTGATGTATTTTGCTACATATACCAGTATTTTAGTAGAAATATTTGTGTGATTCAATTATGGGAGACTCCAAGGGAGACAGATATTTCAATAGTTGAAAGATACTACAAGACCTGGTAAGTATAAATCAAATATATAGAGTGAAGTAAAGAATATTTTACTAATAAATGTTGTAGTCCTAAGGGACCCAAGACATCTTTTGTACCTTTATAATATAATCACAAAAAAATGACATAAAAACCTAAAATTTTTTTTAGTCAAACATTTTGAATGGAATTTTATCATGTTTAGTTTATAATGAAATATTAGCTAAAATATAAGTAACAGATATAAAGTAAGATAATTTAATTATTTCTTTTAAAATTCCAAATGCTTTTTAATTGATTGCTTAGACCCTTTTCCAGGTTTAGAAAGTTTGATAATAAGTTATTGTGATTCAAATTTCCAGTAAATTTTATAAAAATCATGTCCTACCAATAGACATATTACGGGTTTAACTGTTTCACAAAAGATTTTCTTCCATTTAGAATGTTGGCTTTGCCAATTCCAATAAAAACTTCAAATACACATGCAGCTCTGTCTTTAGTCAGAGTCTCCCATGATTGAGATTATTGCTTGAACTGCAGCAGCTAGAGGTAGAGAACAGGACGAGGTAGTAGCAAACGGAATTTGTATTGTTCAGAACTTTTGTACCATTCGTGTTTGTTTGCCGAGGTAGGATAAACAAAGACAACAAACAGTGAATGTATATACTGTAGATAGACATCGATACTTGGCGTTGGACTATGGTAGCCAAGTTTTGTACTGGTCTTAGCCTCTCCTTATGTATTTTGTGATCAGTCTGTCATGCATTGGAGCACAGAGGTACAGCTTCTCACACACACACTCATGCATACACTCACACACACACAGTACTGCTATGGATACATATTGTAGAAATGTAGCTAACATGTAGCTAGGATCCCTGACTTGATAAAACAATTACTGTATCAATTCAGTTGTTTTAAAACATTACTAAAATCATCTTCATTTAAAAAGATCATTCGAATACAAAATACTATTCAATCTGCATCAGAAGAGATTTAAAAGCTACTTACAAGATACTGGCCTAGAAGCTGTATTCTGTGCATTGTTTGTTATTGTATGGCTTATCTATTTGTGCTTTAGTAATCTGGAGTGAGAAAATGTGAATACTGACAAATATTTACACAAAAGCCATGCAGAGACATTGAGCGAAGCGAATACATTGACATGCAAAGCACATAACAACACTTTACTGGATAAACAATCTTAGTCATTAAGTAGAAAAGATAAAAAGGTATAAAACGTTATAAAAAGTTCATAACAAATTTTAACGACTTTACACAAATTTTTATGACGATTTTAGTCATTGATGGTTATTTATATATAAACAATGAAAAATACTTATGTTAGTGTGATAGAAAAAGATGGCTTGAAAATGCCTTCATGAAACACATTTGGTATAGTATCGACTACCCTGATTAAACGTGGCCGATGTATTTCGTGGCTGGCCACATACCAAAAAGCTCCAACATTTTACCCAAATAGTTTTTGTTTTGTTTTTAGTTTAGGAAATGTATTGAGTTCATTTTTAATGTAATTTAGACTGGTATTAATTTTTTTTCCTGTAACTGTGGGCTAGAAAATATTATTTAGTCATATTTAAGGAGGAAATTTAATATATGTTTACAAATCTGGTATTTTTTATATTTCTTGTTTACAAGTAGGACTTCATTGACAGATTGGTATTAGAGACATGAATGTGGTTTTAGTTTTTCAATAAGCCTTATCAACATTACAATTAAAACCAAACTACATATTTAAATGACAATATTACACACTAATCAATAGTATTACTAATCATTAATTAGGCCTATGGTGGAACCTTGCTCAACAAATACAAATAATTGATAAAAATACCGGTGGTGGTTTTCCAACCCAACTTTGGTGGTACAAAAATATTTTAATCACTATAAAAACTTCAATAAATAAATACAATCCTAGAAAGTAATAATTAAATATAAAATAATTTAATTTATTGCTCAAATACTTTTAAAGTTAATAACAGATATGTATAATGAGTAACTTTCTTTTATAAATTAATTGAAAATGTAAATATTAATTATCTTCACAAGATGATCAAAAGAATTTCAATGAAAGAAAGTATGGTTTTTACAATAATATTTTGACAAATAAAATAGACCACCAAAGTTTCCACAGTGCTTCCCTTCCTTGGTCCACTGCACCAGCTTGACAGAAAATCGTCACACTTCAACATTTTAATAAACGATCTTTCCGATGCACCAACCCTTATTATACAAACGTTTAGGAGTAATTTTGTGCAATATAAACTTTATTTTACCAATATACAAAACTACGTACAACAAAAATATAATTTCACCAAGTATTAGGCCTGGGGCTCGCCGACTCTAGGTGGTAACGATGAATAAATCTCCCGCTACAGGGAACAGCTGAGCACTTTCTACTAAGCACCCTTGTTACAAAGCTCATAGAAGATCGATATACAGTATGAAAATATTATATTCTACAAAAGCTTAGAAAAACACCGATAGGAAGAGTAAGACTTACGCTAGGTCAGCAGGGATCATGCGAGATGCAAGCGTCCTTTAGGTTAGGACCCGGGGTAATTTGACTTGAGGAGTGTCACATTTCATGGAAACTCAACTTCTGAGAAATTATATACAAATGTACACACAAACTGAGTCCAGTGATGACATTCATTCACACCAATAAGGTAGCGAAGTAGTATATATCATATATAATATATAACTTTATTAATACTTTATATATAGACTCTAATTTCTTAACACGGATCTTTAATTCTTATCATCTTTTGAGTTTTCAAACCTGAGTATTAAGAACAAAACCGGCATTAAATATAATATTTAAATGCTGTTTTTATTCATATTCAATGGACTTTCACAAATTTTATTTTATTCAGTCTTTTTTAATAGACATTTTCTAAGTTGTACTCTCAAAAAGGCGAAGAGATTGACACTTGGTCACTCACTACATGTTGTTTTTTTGTAAGGGCTTGTTCCATAGATTTTAAATTTATATTAATGCAGATCTGCACAAAATTGTATTAAATACAAAAACTCAAAGATGTGGACTTAACAGGAACCCTTTGACTTATATTTATAATCTTCCAACTAAAGTAAATTTACTTTAAACTCAATCAAATTGAATTTAGAAATGGTAAAGAGTTTATTTTCACCCTTAATCATTCTAGGGTGAAAAACATGTGGTGCATCTGACTGAAAACTATCCTAAAGTATTACATTAAATAGTTTTCAGTCAGATTTATCATTTAAGGAGGACAGCGCATGAATAACTACGAGCTTCCTCATGTTCTTAACCGTTGCCTGATGAATTATTTGACAATTTATTTAATAATAACTTTTTTAGTTTAAAGTGTTTACAAGACAAGAAACGAAGACAATTTCATAAAATTTACCTAGAGTCTAAAATTTGTGAAAGTCCAAAAAGGAGTAGGGACAACAGTCTGTTAAACTTCCTCAAACTCCTTCCTTTAGTAATTCCATTTGTACATTAGCGGTAGGAGGTTGTAACATTTTCTATTTTTGTACATAGGTGATTGTTCATACCCGCTGTTGGAAGGACCAAGCATGGCACAGATACATTTAGATTTTGCAAGATATGGACGATCCCTTAACCTATAGTAAGCGGCGCAATTTGAATATGAGTCCATCTTAAACCTAATTTACAACAAAGAGCGATTGAGCAGTGTCCTAAAACTCACAACACATTTGACATCAACAAAAAACTAACTGAAATTGTCTAAATCAAAGAAACCTAATGAAAATGAATGTCCTGCGAATAAAAACTGACACTAGTAAAACAAGTTTTAGACACCAATATTTACACAGTTCATCACAAGTCACAGTTATATTATCTGGACAGCAGACAAGAGTCATCCGTAGTCACTTTACCAACACTGGTGGGTTTGGCAAATCACAGAAGAATAACACGAAACTATATACAAATTAACTAAAATCAAACCTAGTAAAATGCAAATAAATGGTGGGTCGAAAATAACTCGGAATGCTTGTTCGGAACAGGCACACATCACAGACAGTGTTCAAGAGAGTCCGAACGCGTTAAACGCCAGCATGAGATCGGCCAGCTTTGTCTCCCAGGTCTGACGAAGGAGTGACTCGACGGCTTTGACTCGGAACTCCTCCTCCTGGGCCTTTGGGCGTTATGGCCACTCTCGAGAGTAGCAGGAGGCCAGCGGCTTGACAAAGTGGTGGTCTGCCGTGCCGCAGTGAGGACAGGTCACTCGGTGACTGTAGTCGCTGAAGAAGTTGAGTCTCTGGTGGGGCAGCAGAAGGGCTTTGGCACATCCGTTACACTGCAACAATCAATATGTACTCATGACTCAAATATTTACGTAATTCAAGATCGCCCAAAGTCTCATAGCAATAAATAAGTATAAAACAATTTCTGATAAAGTCAATTGTAAAGGAATACCCATAATTTGTATGTATATTACTAATATAAAAACATGCATTGTATACAATGTTTTACATGATCTGGGATAAGATTATTTTATTATATCAAAACAGTTTTCATAAAGATAGTTTAGTTAATGATTACTATTTCAGATGATCTGTTAATATGGACTAGCAGCCTGCGTCACTTTGTGACTTCAAAATTCGTGATATATTTGATATACTGTATAGTTGATAAGGGTGAAAAAGATTATTTCTCATCATATCCCTATATTTGCATTGCGTGGGTGATCTCTTTGAGGCATCTTAGTAAAATTACAAATGCTAAGAAACATACTATGAAAACATAAAATCCTATCACAAAACAAAATCCAATGTCCCGCAAAAGGCACATTTGGGAGGATAAGAGCTTTAAGTTGACACCCTATGAAAATAAATATTTAGGGGTCAATTTGCTACACACAAAAATCCAACAAATTCTTTTAAAAATATAATATATAGATTAGTTTTACTGTCACCTCAAATACGTACAAAATAGCTTGACTTTTTTTGTACTGTCGCATTTGGTTTTCTTCATAACTACATATCACAACTGAGGAACGTAGTTAACATTTTTAAAGGTACCGTATTTGGTTTGTAGCAAATATAACAAGATTTTTGCCAATCAAATTAAATCAATAATACACTAACAGTATGCAGAATATATTCAAGAAACATACTGTAGGTTTTTAACCTAACATCAAAACATTTAGATTACTTGACGAGGTAATTATACCACAATATTATAGTCAAACATACTGTATCAATGACACATGTATGAAAAGTAAAAGCAAACTTTAAATTTATACTTTTGGTTTTTAGTTTGTGCTGAAGAAGATAGGTAACTATGTAAAACTCACACTCACTGTAATTATAACCAAGTGACCAGGACAAACCGCCTCTTCAATACTAAAGAACTTAAGAAAGTGTAATACATCCACCAACATAGGTTCTAAATTTGTAGGTGGTTATTTTTCTTGTGTCTACTGTAATATTGTGTTATGCATTCACTGTAAAAAAAGGAAACAATAAAGATTTCTTTAAATATTTTTACAATTTTGATTAACTTGAGATTACCTTAAGTCGCTCAGTACAGCAGGGCATGGCAGCGAAGACATCATACGAGTACATAGTGCCAAGAACAAGAGAGGATCCGTCCCATGAAGTGGAACAGAATCTACACCTGAGCCTACGTCCAGGAGCCCAGGCCTCCAGACATCCCATGCAGACTGCGGTCAGGAACTGGGTACGTCCTTCTACCTTTACCTGCATAAAATAACAAGTAAGTTCATGTGGTTGTCATTCAAGAGGGATCCATCCTAAGAGAAACTTCATTTCAGTCTATGTTCAAGAGTTTGGGAAGACTACCTGCAATACTGGGGGTGGCTAAGTGGCTTTCCCTCTTCAATTGCCAAATAATCACAGCAGAACCCATCATTGTAGTTCTGAGCTTAAGAAAGTATCAAAACTAAATCCAATATCACTATTCCATATTTTGGTTCATTGAAAAGGACTGGTGTCAAGACGGTTTATTCATAAAAAAAATCTAAATCTTAAGAATTTTAACCAAATTGTAACTGTGAAAAAGTAAAGTTTGTGCTAAAAAGTAAACCGAAGATAACATATTGGTAGGCCTACATGAATTCAAAAATAATATTTTTTTTATAGTTACATAACACACCTTACTATTTTATCAAACATAATTTTTCTGTAAAAAAAAATAGACAGTACTGAAAGGCTAATATTTTTTTTAAAAAGGAAGAGCAAAGTATAAAAGCATATCCTACATTAAGGATTTTTAAAATTAAGAGATAGAAATTATTAAACCAAGAATCATTGAAAAAATAATCCATTCAAAAAAGCTATTAAGCCAAAACAGAAGGCAACAAAAAGACCTGTTAAACCCCACCAATACTTAAGCTCCATCATTCTCCAGGGGGCTTTGTCAGTGGAGAGCATGTCTTCACTTCACCTACTTGAGTTTTGTTTGTCACAACATTCTTGTTTTCGTGAATAGACTTGTTGCATAATCATTTATCTTACAGACCCTGCCTACCCTTACTCATTTATGGCCTTCTAAAGATTTTTTAAAGATTTTCAGAGTAGGTAAATAGTTTCGTCTTTAAAAATAATTTTTCCACTACAATATTTATTTAATTTCATATGTACAGTTTCAATAACATTTTAATTTATCAAATACAAAATGAAATAATATTGAAAAAAAAAACCTTGGACTAAATTAGTTTTAGCTAAATACTCTGTTTGTGGCTTAGGTTGTTAACAAAGGTTCCGTAATTTTTTACATCAAAAATATTTTTTTACCCCCCTAACAGGGTAGGGGGTAGGGGGTGACTTATTTTTTTTCAAATAGCAACCCCTATTGAGTGACCCCTCATTTTGAAGGATTTGTCAAAAGAAACACAACTTGAGGCAAATCCGAGGTAGATATATCACCCCTAGCATAAATGGTGGATATTAAAAAAATTGATTAATGTGAAAACCCACAAATTTTGGCTAGGGGTGAGATACTCCCCTCGATTTGCGTCATTGTGTTTCTTTTGAGAACCCCTTTAACATGAAGGGTCACTCAATAGGGGGGTTGCTATTTGAAAAAAAATAGCCACCCCCTACTCCCTACCCTGTTAGGGGGGGTTAAAAATATTTTTGTTGTAAAAATTGCGGCACCTTTGTTAACAATTATTGCCACAAACTGAATATTTCTATCTATTTCGGTTTTAAAAATACATATTTGTTTCAAGACTTAATTTACACACTGTATGTCTCAATGTCCAATCTTACTGTTTATCAAGGAGCAACCTCAAAACGTACCTCGATGCAAGCTTTGCTGTGCTGACGAGGACTGAGGAAGAAGGTTCCATCGATGAGAGGATAGCGATCAAACACCAGCATGGGAACATTGCAGAGGATGCAAGGCACTCTGGATGTCGAGTGAGAAGCAAGAGTGGACAGAATGAAGCATCGAGTGTCGTCGTTACCATGGTTACCCTCGTCTTCCATCTGTAACAAGTAAACATACACTGTGGTGAGATATGCTATGGAGGGAAGAGATGAAACACCAGCATGGGAACATTGCAGAATGCAAGGCACTCTGGATGTCGAGTGAGAAGCAAGAGTGGACAGAATGAAGCATCGAGTGTCGTCGTTACCATGGTTACCCTCGTCTTCCATCTGTAACAAGTAAACATACACTGTGGTAAGATATGTTATGGAGGGAAGAGATGAAACACCAGTGAGGGAAGAGATGAAACACCAGCATGGGAACATTGCAGAGGATGCAAGGCACTCTGGATGTCGAGTGAGAAGCAAGAGTGGACAGAATGAAGCATCGAGTGTCGTCGTTACCATGGTTACCCTCGTCTTCCATCTGTAACAAGTAAACATACACTGTGGTAAGATATGTTATGGAGGGAAGAGATCAAACAACAGCATGGGAACATTGCAGAGGATGCAAGGCACTCTGGATGTCGAGTGAGAAGCAAGAGTGGACAGAATGAAGCATCGAGTGTCGTCGTTTCGATGGTTACCCTCGTCTTCCATCTGTAACAAGTAAACATACACTGTGGTGAGATATGCTATGGAGGGAAGAGATGAAACACCAGCATGGGGAACATTGCAGTGGATGCAAGGCACTCTGGATGTCGAGCAAGAAGCAAAAGTGGACAGGATGAAGCATCGAGTGTCCTCGTTTCCATGGTTACCCTCGTCTTCCATCTGTAACAAGTAAACATACACTGTGGTGAGATATGCTACGGAGGGAAGAGATGAAACACCAGCATGGGAACATTGCAGAGGATGCAAGGCACTCTGGATGTTGAGTGAGAAGAAGAGTGGACAGAATGAAGCATCGAGTGTCGTCGTTACCATGGTTACCCTCGTCTTCCATATGTAACAAGTAAGTAAATATAAACTAAATTAAGTACTTGCTATGTTGTAATGAAATAACTGACAATTCTGGTCATAACAGTCTTTAAAATACTTTATCTAAAAACAAATTAGAAATGCTGAAAAACGAATGCAGCAAATTATCCTAAATTTCCTCGGGGAATTCATTAACGTTGCTATGTTTGAAAACCATTAATAGTTTCTTTTTCAAAAAAGTTTTAGATTTTATAAAATGTTATAAAAGGAGTAGGGATAACAGTTAAAATGGGTGTAAAACAAAAGTTGTTATGGTCAGGTTTCCACAACCAGGTATATGAACCCAAGTAGTTATTCTTATATTTAAAAAGTTATCTCAATTTCCTGGGGTCATACGTCGATTAGTCTCGGTTCAGTACTTGCATCCAACACTGTATAATTTGAAGAACTAGAAAGTCTAGTACCATTACACCTGGATGTGACGTTATTGGCTGTCGGCCAGGCGAGCGAGTGGAACGTTATAGCTTTGTTTACATTACTGTCTTTATTGCTTCAATCATGGTCTGGTTGTCATTGGAATGGCTTGCGGCCCCTCTCGGAGCGATTTGATCAAACTAAACTAGTTCCTGGCTGTTGAGTGTTTGTTGCCCTTATCATCGAGAGATAAGCATAACTACCGCGTCTTATTGGAGGGTAAATCACTGTACGACGGTTATTGCCAACTAGGATACAATATGGGGTAGTAAAGCCAACTGCATAACTGCGTATACAAAGGCGATATATTGTAATGTTGGACTTGAGGCCGCACTGATCATCACCTAACACCCACGGGTGCAAGTGGGTAAATTAAGGGTACAATGTACCTGACATTTTGATTTAATTGTGTTTAAAATACTTGATGATTTCATACAATGATCCATCGGAGTTTTTCCCGACAGTGTACTAAAGACTTGTACTAAAGAAACTGAACACTGTCTGGAGAAAACCACTTGAGGTTTTCATTTGAAACGAAAACATACTATCATATGATGCTTAGAATTAAAGGGAAACGCTCGCAAAAAAGATTACTGTAAATTAAGAAGTCATGCTGTTATCGTATTTTATATGATTGTGTATTCGTACCACGGATTGCAGTTTCCTTCTGGATTATGGGTAACCCCTTTGTCACCTTAAGAACCGATAACTTGAAACAGAAATAAACACAAAGTGGCGACGACAAGCATAAAATCGGCAATAACCGCGATATTAAATGTGGAATCACATCATGTAGCGGCGCAATCCCTCAACGCACGTGCGTCTGGCATTAAAACCGCGAATAGTAAGCTTTATACCAAACATAAAATAGCGTTAGCGGCGTCCTGCATAAAGAGTAGGCACAAGCTTTACTGCCGGCGACGAAATAAAACTTAAGTCGCAGAAATAACTCTGAGAGCACGGCAGTTTTGACACTTGTCCGAAAAGAAAAGCGCGGGAATAAACAGGCAGTTTCGCGCCGAAACACGTTTCGCTCGCGCCTGACTTTTATTGGGGTGGCAACGTGCGTGCGGGTGTGAGGTTTATCAGTGCTTATCACAGAAGGAACACGTGTTACCAACGAGGAAATCTTTGTTTGTCAGCTGTCCAAATGTAGGATTCGATTTTCGTTTTGAGAATCGTTTAGTAAATGATTTAGGTTACAGCGTTTTCTTTCTCGTCGAACAATCTTTTGCTTTTCACCCTTGTAAGATATTTCCTGTGCTCATATAAGTCAGGAGGAATGAGTAACGGAGGCTTGAAAATGAGTAACGGAAGAGTTTGAGAAGTAAATTTCTTGTACTTTCAAAAGTTTAGAATTCCAATAATTGAATAATTTAAGGATTTATTAGATTTATGGATATTATTTACCCTTGAGCGCATTGCACTGTTTTCAAATTAAAAGATTCAGTTAATATCGCGAGATATGTTGAAAAAGTCCTTTAAAATATTTAAAACGTTAACTTTAAAAATTTTACAAACTCAGTATTTGCTTTGAACTGACACAAACCATTATTTTTATCTTATTTTATTTTGCACATTATTATCACTATGCCTTAAATCTTTAAATGTTTATAAATATCATGTCATAGTATAACATTTTAATGATTTAGACACTAAAAAGTAGCAGTAGGCCATTTAGCTTTTTGCCTTAGTTATGACCTACAGATATAAAATAAAAAATCAAGAGTAGTATCTATAATGGGAGAGAAAAGTGAACGACATATAAACGCCTTCAAACCATTAATAGGCCCTAGATCAGGGGATTTCTTAAACTCTCGCGGACAGCATTCATGCTGTAAACTTTTTTTCCTAAAATAAGTTAATTGGGGATTAGTTTTACAATGAATGTTAAGGTGGAGGAACTAAATATTGTACTACCGTAGAATTCAAGTACAGTGAAAGATAGTTTGTACCACTGTCGTGTCGTGAGAGAGCGGTCCATGAGGTGTGACGACCAGGGGGGGGGGTGTCAGAGGGGGGGGGTGATATTTTATTGACGCCCTCAGGGAGGATTAGCCTCTGAATATTTCATCACACATTAGACCCAAAACGTCCGCGATTACTGCCAATTTCACACCTTTTGACACCTTTCCATCTCTTCTCATTTTTGCTAAAGAGCTATTTTGTTTACTTGTTTGAAATGTTCAAACGTAATTTGTCGAAATGCAAACGATTATTTTACGGATTTTAATATTGTTAATACATTTTTAAAACTACCTATAAAAACAAAAGATTGATTAAACGTATAAGTACGTAGGCCTATAATATAACGTATATTTTAAGAACACTTTTTTCTCCTCCTTGGTCTTAGTTTTTTTAATTAGGTACTTTCTCTTATAGTATTTTTTCACGAAAATACATTACTTTGTTTAGTGCTGGATAAAATATATTCCTTTCATGTACCAATGTTAACTTAAATCAAAAAGCTTTTCTCCATAATGTAAATTGAATAATGGTTTGGAATAAGAGTTATAATCAGTAAATAATCAAATCTAAGTTTAAATTAAATTTCGCCATTTTTTATAAATATTTTATATCATGAATAATTATACTTAAAGTAGCATTCTCGCCTCATTTTTCAGATAGGTTTGCATATTGTTTAATATATTGTGCCGAACACTACAAGAGTTTTTTAATTACCTCTAAGAGGTAGATATACATAAAAATTAGACGTAGTAAAAAAATCAACGTTAGGCCTACTATGAATTCAAATTAAACTTTTATTTATTTACTCAGTGTTTCAACTTCAAATAATAAATGTCAAAATGTGAGTGTATGTTTTTGGAAGCTTAGTTACAATGTTGGCATAGCGATTAGTATATTTTTGGGTTGGTTAAATAGGAGGAAGGATGATCATTTACAGTACGAGCAGACGCATCTGAATGTAATTATGAAACTATGAAAGCAAAAAACACATATAAATGTACAAAACACAAACTATGTTATGATACAACCAATTAATAATCACGATATTATATGGATCGTTTATAAACTGAGATAGAAGTTAACAAACGACTAAAACATCTTTACATCTGCCCCGTTGTCACAGTGAGGGTAAATTACATTACGCCGGTGTAAGGCGTGGGGGGGGGGGGGTGGGGGCGCTCAACGCTCAACGCTCAACACCGAGTGAATAATTAACACCTAAATGGAAAAATATTTCGGATTTTTACTCCGTGATTAATGAAAAAAGTGAAAAGCCTTGCAGACTGTTGTATATTTAATAACGGCGGATTAAGACGGAGTGATCGCAGGTTTGAGTGGCTCGCCCCCTTCGTTGAAGCCTTGTGTTATTGTACGGGGGTTATATACTTTTGACGAGTCGGATTTATATCTGAGGGAGGGGGAGGGATAGATAGTAGTTGCTTCTCGCTCTTATTTATTTGTTGATTTTTAGTTTGTCCCATATCACCGAGTGTGACGTGTAGCAAGTATCAGTATCAGAATCAGAATAAGAGTCCAAATCAGAATAAGAATCTTTATTGCCATTGATCAAACATACATTGAAATAGACATAGTCAAATTAGTGCTAGATCTTTACATAGGTCAAACATACAAAATCAAAGAGTAAAATAAATAAAAATTAGAGTACTACCAGCTCGCAATGTGACCGACACATAAAT